CTATCAAGATTAGAATGTTTAGGTTTTATTTTCCATTCTTGTGATTCCGACACCAAGACTAGATTCCGAACAGTCTTCCTCGAGAGATCGATCCGAGAATTGAATCATTCGATTCGGTGCTCGGTAAAATAATAATAATTTGTCTACAACAAATTTGGCGCCGTTGCCGGGGAAGGCAAGTAGGATATATAGTTTTGGTGTTGATCTTATTTTCTGTATTTCTCTTATTTTTGTGATATTTGCTTAATTTCAGTGTTTCTCTTGATTTTGTTATTTTTCATTTCAATTGTTTTTATTTTTTTGTAAAAATTGTAAAAAATAAAAAAAAAATTATATATTTCTTGTTCTCGTGTGCCTTGGTTGTTTGTTTTTCTTATGCGAGGTGTTTTACTTGAGGAGCTCCGATGGACCCATACGGTTATTCTTATGCCGGAAGCTCGTCTCGTGGATACCCCGACAACTACCTAGAGAAGATGAACTCATATGGAGGACCACCCTATCCGTATACGAGCTATTCAAATTCCTATTGCTATGATGGATACTCTACATCCCAAGGGTATGATCTGAGTCATTCTTACACGACATCTCAAGGCGGATATGATTCTTATACTCCAAATAACTACGAGACGCCTTATTATCAACATTCATCTCCCGACTATCACCAAGAGGTTTTGGCGAACACTCAAGAGGTACTTACAAGCCTTCTATCAGTCATAGAGGAGTTTCATAATTGGAGGATCATTCCCGTTCCATCCGTACTTCAAACTCAACTCACAAAGTTCGACTCTACCGTAGTTGCTTTCCTCGACTTAGACACATCTCATATTCTGCTTGGTAGATATTATTCTCTATCGGCGAAAGTGTGTCGAGAAAGTGCACGGTTAGAGGGTGAATTTCGAGCTATGGTGGAACAGTTTGCTTCTCTCAAACAGGCGGGCCTCACTCTCGTTTATGATGGAACACAATCTCTCGACACGAGTGAGGACATTGACGATTTGTATGTTAGAAGAATCTCCTCTCATGACGATCCAGGATTACAAACCATGTCAAACCTACATTTCAGTGATGGTGCGATCACTATCGATGAAAGCGAGTGTGTGGATTCAAAGAAGATACGGTGCATGGTGTGGGGAATAATTCATTGAAGGATTCGCTTATGCGGAGTGAAGCTGAAGGGGCTCGAGATGATGATTGTGAGGAGAAGATCGTTCATGATGTCGTGGATGAGGTCGAGTCATTATGTGAGGTCATTGACCCGGAGAATGCATTGATGAATGACTTGACTCATGATGTTGAGTACACGCCTGAGATGGAGTCGGTGATGACCGGGATGAATTCGATATGCTCTACAGACATGTTCATAATTCCGGAGGTCGATCATAGGGCCATGGTACGTAAACAATTACATTTTCTCTTGATAGGTTTTGATATACGTGCTCGAACTCACAAGAACGTGGCCACAAGAGTCTACTTTGTCCGCCTCTGTTCCGTACTACCAACGAGACTACTGTTGGAGAATACAAAGGTGTGGCATGATCGTCACTTTTTTTTGGACCCTGGTTGATTTGTACAGGTTTCGTCGAGCTAATGACGTTAAACAAGCGCTTCTTGGGAGGCAACCTAAGTTTCATTTACTACTTTCTTGTGTGTTTCGTTTATGTTTTTTATTTTATTTTTG